ACAATGCTTTCATACACAAAGATCAACATTTTTTTTAAGTCTTAAGGTTTGTAAAACAATGTTTTTCTCATGTCTGTTTTTTCTTTTCACATGTTGCCTATCTATCATGCAAAGTAATATTCATTTTAAAATTAGAAATACTTTCATGTATCAGAAAATTTTAAAATTTAATATGCAAAATCTTTATAATGTCCAAAATAGTTATCGAACGTTTTTTAAGAAAAAACTTTATATTTTATCTGTTATTTTCAGTAATTAATCTCTGTATGGGTTTGGTAGATTTGACTGATCTCGTAACAACCATAAAAAAAATTAGGAAATAAATATAACTTATGCCTCTTTTGTTCTAGAATGACAACAGATTATAACACGAAAACATAAATGTTTAAACTATATAGCTCAAATCTCAGAACATTATACATTTGTATATATTTATTATTTTTATTATATTGACCTTTCAGCCATGCCTGACTAACAATACAGAGGTTACAATGACATAGCACATATGCTATCATGTTACCACATCTAATAACATAAAACTGACTTTTAGTCTTCACAAAGTGACCTGTCTTGGCTGTGTTTTAGTAGACTAGTATTTTATCAAATACAGTCACATTTCAGTTATTATACATTATATATGTATATAGATTATTGCTATTTAGAAATAAGTTCTTAAAATTATTTTTCTTAAAACATAGAACAGTAAATAAAGAAGTAAAGCAAACAGTTATCTCTTCTAGTTATGACCTTTGTACTTGGTTGATGCTAGATTTACATTGCTAAGCCTTTTAAAATTTTGCATGTGGAGATTATGAAACGAAATAATGTTTTTAGGTTTTATATATACAGTTGGATAACCAAAAAATCATAAATTACTACATCAGTACCATAGAATTCCACTATAATATATCAAACTTATTAACTATGCTGTATTTCAGTCCAAATATGAAATATCAAGCAGACTAAAGACACAATCCTTGAAATCATGGTTTGAAAGAAAGATATGGTGTCCTAGGACTTTAAAATGGTTGAGAAAACCACTAGGGGACATTCTGAGCTTTCAGTTGGTTATTCTTGTCATATATAGAAGTAAGTGTATATAAGGGAGCGTTTCCAAAATTCTAAAGAGGTGTGCTGAGTGCCACTGCGTTTGATTAATTAAATGAGCAATACCTTACCAAAAAGAAAAGATAATAGATTCTTATTTTATATTCTAGCTTATCAATATCAGTAATTTGAGTTAATAATTCATATGAAACTATAGACTATCTAATTTGAACCAGTGCTGCATTCAACATACCATGTGACACACAAAAAATGATGTTTAACTGTGTTTTTTTAATATTTACTTTTAAATTAAGAAATTGAATAATGTATAATACTCAAATTTAGATTATAATCTACAGTTTCATACCAAACTTATGGACATAAATTCATGTAATAGTAGTTTAATAAAATTTTGAATGTGAGTCAACAAACAAGATGACATGACCTTTGACCTGTGTGGAAAGGGTTAAGTAGCACACAAAATTATATCTGTATTAGTTTAGTTCAGCATAGTTTGTACTGTACATAAAATATAATATTAACATAGTGGTCGACGAACAGATATTTACTTCTGAAAAAGTGTTGTGAATAATGAAATCAGGACCTGCACTTGATATGTTTCAGTGCTATTAATATCAGTAATTATGTAGGTATTAGTAAAAGTTCATTAAGGATGTTTATATTAATCATTATTAATATGAACTTCATAGTAATAGTAAAGAAGAATGTATAGTAATATATCAACCACATTATATCTGCTATATTCAGTGCAAACAAGGCCTTTTTCCCAGTACTAGGGCACTTTAGGCTGACTGGGATACAAGAGATATAGTAGTGGTTGGAATGCTAATTACATTAATACAGGTGGTTGTAAATTATTATTTTTTACAAAGTTGTTGAAATATTAATAAATGTTCAGTAACAATATATGCAGTTACTCTGTTATATGTAGCATGTGTATAAATCACTGTTCTACTGGAAACTACCAAGTGCATGAAATTGGTTAATTCCATACCTCCAAGTTGTGGTTGTAACCAAACAACTTTGTATCTGGAACATTGTATGGCTATATCCGTTTTACTTGTTTTGAATGCCGTAAACATGATCTTCACGAAACATTACACTAGATTGTATTGTTACTTAGCTTGAACATATTCTGCTGTTGGTACAGTAATGATCAGATCGCTGTCGTTGTCTTAAATAGTTTAGTTTCTGTTTCTTTTTCATAATATTTAAATTTTCTACTTTTTGAAGCTATTTTTATATAAATTACCATTCATTTTGTTTTTGACCAACTTTTCTGTTAATTATTGCCTTTATGTTTTGGAAGTAATTCATGAGATTCAAATATATTTACAACATCATATAAAGCATTAAAAGAAAAAATGTTAAATTTTAAAGATAATTATATGTCATTGTAACAGAAAAACATGATTTTTAAAGATTTATATGTGAATGTTTACAGATGTTTGAAGG